TTGAAGACCCCTGCCATACATCTTAAAGTTGCTGTGGTTGGGAAGCACTAATCTACAGGAATAAAGACTTTTTCCTATGGATTATCTAAGTATTTCTAAGTGTACTATATAAGGTATTCATCATCCAAAGGCCCATGAGTCCTCAATTGCTGAATACACTATTTATATGGATCCCAAGTAATTCAAGAATAACTATTGAACAATCAGCATTAAACACAGCAATGTGAGCTAAGAAAATAGTGCATTTTTAAAAACAATTATCATTTAAAAATCTAGTTTTATTACAGTATTTGATTTGGATATGGAAAGAGAAAACAGGAAGATGTTCAAATCATGCCTTTTCACATCTGTTAAATTTGAACTTGATCATACGCAAATTGCTATGAATAAAATTAATCCTCAATCAGTGTTCTAATATTAAAACTTATTTTTATGACAGTGCACTTGATCAATGGTTCTCTCAGCTCCAATGGGTTAGTCCAATTCAAAATTGAGACACAATGGTTTACAGTTTGTGCTAATGAGTGGACAGAAGAATCATCAACCAGTATCTGCAATCTGTTAAAACTAGGGTAAGTAAAGTTTTTGATTATATGTTCTTTCAGAGCTAATTCATCCATAATACTTTATATGACAGATATAATACTGGCTTGGAGGTTTGGAAGTAAGAGCACATATAAAGCTCTAATGTTCTGCATAATGTATAATGTACCTGGCTTTCCCAGTGGCATTTCCAGCAGCAGAAACTTTCTTCAAGGACTAAGGCATGTCTGCTTAATGTCAATTTGATTACACTTCAGTCAGGAAAAAGAATGTTGATATGGAAGACAATTTGGCTTTTTATCAGCACATGCTGAATGTTGTTGTTATTATTGTATTAAATTATGCATTAAATTATGTAAATTATATATATTAAATTATGCATTTAGTTATTCTTTGTTAGTCCTTTAATATTAAATCTATAACTGCCATTCACTGGAAATACAAATTTTATAAAATAAGTGAAGGTTTACTACACATAATGGAAATTTACCTGTCAAATCCGGAATAGCTTTGAAAACTTGGAAATCTCCCTTCCTTCTCTTATTTAAAAGATCTTTTTTAAAAATAACAACAGAGACAACAATGCTGGCAATAATATTTTTAAGAACAAACACATACACCCAAACAAAACAAAACAAAAATCCCTGTAGAAAATAAGAGAATGAAAAAAAGGAAGCTAATAGCTTCCAAATACTGGCTTTATTAGCCATTAGTATTTTCATAGTTGCTTTATCAAGTTCCCAAGATATCTCATCAATTTTTTTAATGACTTCTATTAAATTTATTCTGACATTCAGTATAGAATATTGGTCTATATTTTCATTTCCTCAATATACAGGAATAAAATATTAAGCTCTATGTGTAATACTATAACATTGTACATTAACACTGAACAATTACAGTGGTAATTGTAGATCTAAATTATAACAATTTACCTTTTCTCCCCTATGATTTTCTCCCCTACTACTATACCAGCATTGTTATATTGGAACCAAGCTTGCAGATTATGCTTATGTTCATTTATGAACACATGTATAGTTTTATTATTCTGCAGACTTCTTAATCATATGTAATTGGCTACAATATTTCCATGTCTAGATCAGACAGGTGCATTCACAAATGCAAGGTCTTAATTTGATATAGGAGGAACAATATCAACAAGTAACTAACTCTATTTTGGCCATCAGTTTGCAAAATGTGTAGCCCAAGTCCAAAGTAAGTTCCAAACTGTGGTAAATGCCAGGTTTCTCTTTCTGATTCCTTGTGTAGGTAGAAGTATTGGCATATTTTGATTGCTCAGTTTTGCATATATCTTCATAAAGTAATCATTTCTGAATGTGCTGTAAATATATCTACTAAATAATTTCTTTATCTTATTAAACCACACATAATACAGTACAATAATATCTATATTTTGTTATAATTAAAAGGATATGTTTTAAGAAAGTTTTTCCTTTTAGAAGTGGGAACAAGTCATCTCCTGTCTTGTTTACTGGGGCAGGTCCATTTGTCGAAGTTAAAAAAACAACTAACAGCAACTTCATATTAACACCAAGGTAAGGCTTTATAAATGACAGTTAAAATGGTGAAGAAAGCATAAGTAAATCATTGAAAATATGGTAAGTGGGGATTTTTAATTTTTTTCTTTTTCTTTTTGCTCCTAAGAGGTCTGTAGAGGATGTGCATAAGCGCACCAATGTGCCTACCATCCCTGTCCTTTTGTTTCTTTTATTTTTCTTATATGTACCCATGTATTCATAACTATGTTTTTACTTATACCTAATATCTTGTAAGCAATTGACAAACCAAATAAAATAAATAAATAAAATTAATTCTCTTATTATTTATGAGTAAAAATTGTCAAAAGGTATTGATATTTCCATATAAACTAACGAACATTTACGGAATAAATGAACATTTAGGACAAAGTAACAGTCCCTTCACTAACAACAACTGATATGAGTCAAAATAATGAGTTCTTGTAACCACTTGAGGTAACATGACTGGAGGAGAAATTCTGGGAGTTGAAATCTACAACTCTTAAAGCTGTTAAGTTTGAAGAGTCCTGCATTTAAAATTCTGATATTAATAATCAGTTGTAATAGAATTTCTTAAGTAAATCTTGAGTGCAGATAACTATGGATATGGCAACAATGTGGAATCTGTTTGCCATTTTCCTTCTTTTTCAAAGGCTTTCATATACCCCATACTAAATTCTCCATCTAAATACCAACCCTTATATTTCCCAACAATCATTATTAGAGTAGATCCTGCTTAATTTTTGAGATCAGCCAAGTCAATTATGTGTTGCCATCTATCTTGACATATGAAAAGTTGCCGAGTGTAAGGTTTCTGTTCAGCAAGAGGCTAGAAAAGAAGACTTCCAAGGTCCCTTCCAACCCTACTTTTTCTATGTTCTATGTTGTATTAATATAGCATTTGATATACAGTATATAGGAGTATAATTTTTAATTTGTATGTTATTAAAGCAATAGTAGTAGGGCATATTTTAGAACATTTCAATTCATCAAAGAGCTTTGCATATATACTGTATTTTTTTGTTTTCAACTTTCCCTCTAATATAGTTTTTGAAAGAAAAATGGCGGGGGAACACATTTGAAAAAGAAAGTAGCACTTGATTGGAGAAGGCAGTTCAATCAAGAACATTTCTTACAAACAACAGAACTGCCATAGAGAAAAATCATTTTGATAAGCTCAGCCATTGAGTGAAAAATGTGTTACAGATTGCTTTTATGTCTCAATATGCAACTTTATTTATTGTTCTTTTAGTCATCACAGAAATCTAATAGAAACTAGAAATTTAATTTTATAATCAATATGGTAAAAAAAATGTTTATTGGTATTGAACAAAAGTGAATTAAAAGGGCCTCAACTTGAAGATTGGATAGTGAGATGTACTAACTTTATATTTAAACCATAAAGAAATAGACGTATATTTTACTTGTAATAAAAGTAACACGTTGCTAGCCTCATTTGTATTAAACAATACATTATATATATCAAACATTCATTTTGAAAAAGTATTTCAATCAATGCATTTATAAGAATGTTATTTGTTTAAAAACATACATTGCTTACAATCAAATTTAAAACAATAATACAACAATAGTTAATATAAAACATGTTACATTAAAATGGGTGGATATAAAAAAAAGCTATTATTTACACAGGAATAGTGAAAACAATAGCTCCTAGCTGCCTAAATAGTATAGTGGTAGGTGACCCTAAAATGTGGAAGATTATTCCAAAGTGGAGAACTGTCTATAAGAGATCACAATTCATACCCTGCAATAGGAGTTCATTGCTTAATCATAGTAATAATGTATCTGTAATAGAAGGTTGTGTAGAACATATCCTGAAATTAAAGCTTTATATGTTAAAAATAAATGAACTTAATATCTAACTGGGGTTAATCTATGGTGTCTTGGTGACAGTAGGTGACCAGAAGCTAAAAAGTGTAGTGCCTGATTTGTACATGGGTGGGAAATTTAATAGGATGCCAGGACCCTGGATTGGCTTAAAAGTATGTCAGTTGTCATAACATAATTATGCAGTTGTGCATATGTTAGCATTTTGACATAATTGTTTGCTACAGATAACCATGTTCTAACTCCAGCTAGTACACAGCTGAAATTAGCTCAAAGCTCTGCTTACTACCCCCCCCCCTTTTTTTCTTTCTCTCTTGGATTTTAATCTTCTTGGCTGATGAAAGATTCTAACACATTTCAAAGCTTGAAGTGATTGTAAAATATCAGTTGGTTCAGTCTGGCCACTGTGTCTTTTAATTTTTACCTCTCTTTACACCCAACATTGGGTTTTCTTTGGTCAGTTTCTAAAACTTTTATGGAGAATATTATATATGTAAAAATAGTATTGTTTTCCATCAAGCTGTTTAAAAAATGGGTCATAGTAACAAACGTGTAAAGTGAAAGATAATGATCAGAGCTAATATTTATCCTTTTCTAGGATTAATTACTATGGATAACTATACTGGAAATGATTGGCTTTTTAAAAACATAATCATTTATCATCATAGAGAAGTCAAACAATGTTTTAGAGTATTTACAGAGCTTTGCAATTTCCATTGATAAATGGAATATTGTCTGATTGATATATATGTGTGTGTGTGTGTGTGTGTGTGTGTGTGTGTGTGTGTATGTATGTATGTATATGTATATGTATATATTCTTAAGTTTTTGCGGGTACTTACATGTATGGTATTCAGGTTGTTCAGGTATTCTCCCATGTCATTATAGTTGTGCTTTTAAAGTTGTAGCAACGTTTCAGCAGAATCTCATCTGCCATCATCAGCTTCTGTATTGTGTTCGTTTGTCATAGACGAACATAATAAACAAGCCTGATGATGGCAGATGAGATTCTGCCGAAACATTGCTAAAACTTTAAAAGCACAACTATAATGACATAGGAAAATACCCGAACAAAGCTGAATACCACACACACACACACACACACACACACACACACACACATATATATATCTTTGTGTCTGGACTTTATTACCTGATTTGTATTAAATATGCTCTCTTTCTAGGGTAAAGTGTTTGAATAATCTGGTGATTCATTTGCAATGCAGTGGTAAATGTAAGTTTACAAAAAATCAACATAAAAGGATAACTGTTCATATTTTTTCCCAATATTACATTTTTTGTTTACGTTGTTTACATTTGTTACATTGTTTCTTCCTGCTGAAAAAAATATTTTTCATGTCATTTTTAGGATCCTTCAGAATTTATGTATGTATTTATGTTTTTAAGAATATAGTATTGTTGCACTATTTTGCCCCATCACTTTATGTATTTATAAATGTATTAACGTAATAAAAAATACAGGTAGCATTTAGCGTCTCAGGAAGGAAGATGAGAGGAAGAGCAGATTTTATTGTACTTTTTCATGTTGCTGTTATAATGCCATTTCTCAATTAGACAAAAATCCAAATAGATCTATTTAATATATTTATTATACAATTTTCTGCAATCTTTTGTTGTTGTTGCTAAAACTTCACAACTATATTTATTTCATTTTTAGAATGAAATTTAGAATTGGATTAATATTTCTTTGACACTTTTGATTTTAAATAGTTTTAAATCATTTCAGAAGGTATATTGATATTGTTTATCTTACAAAGCTTTTTATTTCATTGTTTCATAAGAATGTTTTAAATGTGAAGTTATTAAACTATGTAAAACAAGGGAGGACAAACATTACTTCAGTGTGGATTTATACAATGAAAGTCAGGATATCTGTAAATTCCCTCAAAAATTGCACTGATTTTTCACCTTCCCATGATAATTTTAACTTTTTCTAATACCTTGAATTTCTAAACAATACCCTTTTCATTAGTGAATAGGAATTGCAATAACAACAGAAATAATTTATAACAAAAATATTATTTACCCAGCAATAGTTTTCACAGAAAATAATCATAATAAACTAAATATAGCAGCTTAAAAAATTCCAAAAATTAGATGATACTGTTGAGTTTTTAGAAGGCTTCAACATTAAGGATTAATTGTAATAAATATTTAATTAAAATGTTACTTTGAGCATTATATCTATCTAGATATGTGTGTACATGGCCTTAAATATGTTTAAGATCTCTATATATTTCTATATCGACCTAAGAAAAAGTTTTTTATAGAAATAGTCCACAATCTATGACAATTGAGCCCAAAATTTATATTGCTAAATGAAACATTTGTTAAATGAATTTTGCCCCATTTTACAATCTTTCTTGCCACAGTTGTTAAGTAAATCACTAAAGTTGTTAAGTTAACAAAATTGTTGTTAACTGAATTTGGCTTCCCCATTGACTTTGCTTGTCAGAAGCTTGCAAAAGGACACTATTACAGTGCCTATTACAGAGTAGGTGAAATTAGCATATTATTTCTCAGAATGCATCCTTTTTACTTTTTATTTTCCTTACCCGTAGCTTGTGGGAAAAGAATGATTACCCAGAAATCTCAACCAAGAATTGTTGGTGGTTCCGATGCTCAAGAAGGTGCTTGGCCTTGGATAGTCTCACTGTATTTCAATTACAATCCAACCTGTGGAGCTTCTCTTATCAACCATGAATGGCTAATCTCAGCTGCACATTGTGTATATGGGTAAAATTTATTTCCAGAATTCAACAGATCTTACATTCCATATCTTCATGTATTCTTTTAAAAAAATGGATGTCAGAATTTAAAAGATAAAGTAGAGACAAGATACATATCTCATATTAAAGAGAAGATCAGCCACAAGGATGTGCAGGAGTTATATTTAAACTTCTTAAATCAATCGATTCAGCGTATAGTTCACTTGAACATCTACTACTGTTATTAATAAATGTAATATACGTTTTCCCAAAATAATATACAAAATGAATTAAAAAACACCTTTCATAAAAAAGATTTTACCTTAAAACAGTGCTTAAGAAAAGAACCAGTACTATGAATGATACTTATTCAATAAAACCCATTACTATCATATCGGCAAAAATATGAAGCACTATAAAAAAAAACAGGAAAGAATTGCAGTATTATATATCTCTTTGCTGATATCTGATAGTATTGATTTTTGCAAACTAGGTACCACTACATGAAATGGAACATTTGCACCAGTCCTTTCCTTAAATAATCTACCTCACATTTCCTTAAATAATCTAGCTCACATTGAGCCAATGGCCTTATTTGCTTGAATCTAATGATCAGACTTGGATTCTGATAAAAGCAATCATATATTATTGTATTAATTAGATTTTTACCCTGCCTTTATTACTTTTTAGGAAACTCAAGGTGGTGAACATACCTAATACTCCTTCCTCTTATTTCTATTTTCTTCACAGCAATAACTCTATGTGATTGTCATATATGAATTCTGGTACATGTGAATGTGTTAGATTGATAGAATATTTAAAATTAATAAGAACAAGATATCTACATTAGAAAAGTTTCATGGAATTTATTTATCTTCATTTATCTAATATTTGTCATTGGAGACAATGAACTATGGGAAATGTCTGAGAGGAATGTAATGAACACTCATATCAGAAGAAGAAGCAGTTTCTTGTAAATATCTGGTTTATAGAAAAGGCAAACAGGAAAATCTTGGTGGTCAGAATTTATTAACTGGTTCTGCATCCAGAAAAAAAAGCCCACCTCTGAATATTTATCTATATGGAAATTTTTCCTGGATCAGCACTATTCACATTATCCACTGTAGAAGCTGTCTACAGCATATTAAAATATGAACTTTTTCTCGTAATATAACTAATATATTCAAAGCATTTCATTACTAAAAATAGAATCCAAGGGTAGTGATTCCTCAATTACTTTCAACCTTATATCTCATTAGTTACAATATAGTTATAAGTAATTCAAGAATGTAATGTAGTTAGCTGCATTATAAAGGCTGTATTAGCCTAAGTGATCCATTTTATATACAATCAGTTGTATTCCTCTGAAGTGTTGCCAGATTTGAGATTAAAGAATGTCTTATAGGAAATACAGCCTAACCATCCATATGAAACTTATCTAAGTAAATATGAATAATAAATGTTCTTTTTTTTCTCATAAGAATTTGCAATATTTGTTATTAGCAACAATGGTACTCAGGCTTGCGCTAGCATATTCTGTGATACTTGTATGATTCTCTATCATAATCTGAGCTGCTCCTTCTCCTAATAAAGGCCATTAGCTTTTCTCTCTTCAGAGCTATCTTGTTAAATATGTATTAGATTTCTGCACTGTCTCAGCTACATCACTGCTGGCATATCATTCCTCAATAACAAGACACATTTTTCATAATCAAACAGTTCATCTTATTCATCTTATACTTATTCACCAAATTGTGCAACATTATCTCCCTAAGGATGCAATGTGATTCAACACAGTAATATACATGGACATGAAGCAGTAAACCTGGAAATAATGTTCAACTTTGTGATGGCTATGCCCAGAAATGAACCTATGTTTAATTTAATTTAATTTAATCTATATTTTGTTCAATTCTACAGTGTATTACAAACATAGATTTTGTGTAAAAATGTGAGCCCTTTATTAAATGTGGTAAATACATTGATTTCACAGCAAGAAGTATTACCTAAGCAACATTGACTAATTTGAGAAATTGTTCTGGAGAAGTGATCCTTAAGGAATTTAAAAGCTATAGGCTACACTGAGACATTAAAACAAATCACGGACTTCCATATTGGTGATAAATAATATAGATGGAAGTGACAATAAAATCTTTGAGAATGAAGCTTCACTCAATGGAGTATTTGACTTAATAATGCTGGTAGCTTGTCTAAGCAATTCCACCTATAATTTGAGTTTTGCCTATTAGCATTTATTAAAAGGAATATGTGAAATGGATAAAGTTCAATATTAATAATATTGAGTCAGTATACATCCATTTTAATATATAATGCACATTATATCCCTATAATCAGTATATATTGTCTTAAATATATTATGCTAGTGGCAGATGATAAATGGAAGAGAAAATAGAATAGAATATTGCTACTACTGGCATTGGACAGTCACACATTTGAAAGGATAAATAGGCTCCTCATCCATTTTTGTGAGAATGGTCAAAACTAATTTCTATTTTTAATTTTACAAAAACCTACTCTCTAGTTGCCATAAATTTGGCAACATTAGATGTAAGACAGGATAAGTAATTTGAGGACCCTTGAAAGTTTGATCCCTGACATACATGACTGGTGGAAAGATTGTGGCATTGGCATCCAAAACATTTGGAAATTTAAGCTTATCCCTGACTGTCAGTAATGCTGAAATCAGTAAAAGTTGTGTTTGAACATATTGTGTCAATGTGGTTCAAATATTAAAATATACAAACATTACATCTCATAAGCTATTTCAAACCATAATTTAAGCATGTGTTATTTTGACTTAGGAGGAATTTAAAACCATCTCGGTGGAAAGCATTTCTTGGGCTGCACACAAATCTCAATCTATCATATCCTCAAACAGTGAGCCGAGAGATTGATCAGATTATCATCAATCCTCACTATAATAAGCGAACAAAAGACAGTGACATCGCTTTGATACATCTCCAATTTAGAGTAAATTACACAGGTAAAATGATTTTCTGCTGCAACTTTGCCTTTATGTTATTAACAGATTAGGGTCTAAATCTAAGAGATATTTAAAAATTTTCCATGTAATTTCCAATAATCATCATCACAAAAGCGGGAGTACTGCTAAATTTCTTTGGGGATTATTTTTCAGCAAAACTATTTGTGCAATGTTATCATCAAAGCCTGGAAAGAAATAATTGTTTATTTCTTTCACACAGATTATATTCAGCCCATTTGCTTCCCAGAAAAAAATAAACAATTTTTGCCAGGCACTAAATGCTCTATTGCTGGTTGGGGAAAAACCACACAAGAAGGTATGTCATTGTCATGTTAAATCTCTTTCTTCATTTTATTATATTTTCCTGATATAATTACTATAACTTAGAGCAGTGGTTGCCAACCAGTGGGCTGGGATCACTGGTGGTCCACGAGAAAATTTTGGTGGTCCGCAGAGAAATGTCATCCCCAAAGCACCCCCGCAAGCAATGAATCCAGGCTGTGCAGGAACACAAGACTGCGCTGCCCACGTGGCCCATGGGAACAAAAGGCTTGCGTCGCTTGCATTGCGAACAACATGAGGTAGTGGGAGGAGGGGAGAAAGGGCGAGGGGGGGAACTTGCCCACTCACACCTACCGGGCTGCTTCTTTCCACTTCTTTCTTCTGCTTTTGGCTGTACACAAGGAAAGCAGCAAGAGTCTTTCTTTCTCTCCCCCAAACTCCACCAGAAATGAGTCTCTGGGACCCTGCAAGGCATCCTGCTCCAAGAGTCAGTGCCGGCAAGGACTCATTTCTGATGGAGTTTGGGGAAGAGAAAGAAAGAAAGACTGCTTCTGCTGCTTTCCTTGCATGAAGCCAAAAGTCTCTCTCTCTCTCCCCCTGAGAACGGAGCTGGAGATGGTATCCTGCAATCTCAAAGAATGATCGATTGGTGGAAAAAAGGGAGTGGGGAATTTTCCTGCATACTTTTTGGGGGATTTTCCAGGATCCCTGCTGCTTTCTGCAGCAAGCAACGTCAGCAAGCCACCATCAGTCAAAATTCATAGTAGTGGTCCACGGGATTTAAAATTATGAGTTTGGTGGTCCCTGAGGTCCAAAAGGTTGATGACCCCTGATTTAGAGTATAAAAACATTTCTCTGTCAGATGTTTCAACCATCATAATATTAGAGTACATTTTATGAAACAGATCCATTGAAGCTTCGTATTAATTTGCCATCCAAAGTAATGGTTGGGAAAATGTACATAAGTGGGGTTGTTTTTAAAATAAACTTTGATTTTACATTAAAAATACAAAAAGAAAATTACTAAAATTGTTGGTCTCATATAATTAAATGATAAACCAATCATAAAGAGGTAAAGATTCCTGCACAAAAGCAGTTTATGATTAAACAGAAAATAAAGATAAATAAGATTAAACATATTACCATAGAAAATTCATTTTTTATTTTAATAAAGGCATCTTGAATAAACAGATATTAAGTGAATTACATAAAGAATATATATTATTGACAATAAATTAGATTTAGTCTAGAAATACATTTTAAACAATGGAAACCACCGAGAAGTCATTATTCATAATTGAAACTTATACCACATATAGCCGAGGGACATGGAACATGGCCTCAAATTATGCAAGTAGTTTGCAGGAAATATAGAAACATATAGAAAGACAATCCTTGGTACCCCAAGTGGCTTTAAATTTAGCAAAAAAAAAATCTGTCAAAGAAAGCAGCTAAACAGCTAAAATTAGTTTGCTAAGTAGTGCAATGCCTTAACATAGTTGTTTTTCAGTTATGCATAGATCTTCCCAATAGCATATTCCTTGGCCCCCTAGTAGGATTTGCAGTTAATAACGCAATATATTTATTTTGCAGTTGCAAAGCACAGAAACTTTTCTAAATTGGGATCCATTAACTCAAACAACAGCATAATATGAAAAATACACATCACCTAGGTCCCAAGCCATCAAGCTGACCATGCACAATAAATGTCTTTTGCAGAATAATATTTAAGGGTACTAATAAATAAGGGAAGAACAAGCATCATGCAGTGCTTTCAAGACTAGATTATGGCATAAATGGTAATGGAATAGAGCCTATCTCATTAAAGGAATACAGTGATGCACAAAATGTTGTGCTCCATTGTTACTACACCTTTGGGTGCAGTGAATAAAAATGATAAACAATGTATCTATGTCATAATCAATCTATTTTACTTCAAAGTTGCCACAACTACCAGCTATTCTATTCTTCCAACTGGAGTGTACTTATATCAGAAACTTTAAATTCCATAGCTTTTCTATTAAAAAAGCAGAAGTGAGAACCGATATTTACTTCTTCCTTCTAACTGTATTGTATTAATAGGACTATGATTCTCTGTAATTATAAATTCAAAGGTCAACCCTATAAGTCAGGGATAGAATGTCACACCACTTAATCAAGAATTTTTTAGAACTAATATCAAGCAAAAATAGGTGAGGGAGGAGCAGTTGCTACAGCAAGTTGAAAGCTAGAAAACTGTAAGAGCTTCCTATCCGTGCCATTCGGAGAGCTCTCACTAATCTGCTTCTATAATCCACTATGGATTTTGTTTACATCTGTACTGAATTGTGTACTGCAGTATTACAACTGTGCTATACTGGGCATCAATAGAAGCTCTGATGCTTCCAGACAGGTTTCCGTGCAGCTTGGAGAACTGCACAGAAATCTTTTCCATCTCTTGAAAATGGAAGCTTGAACTGGAAGACAAAAGTGGTAAGAGAACCACATTACTTACATTAGATGTAGCTATTTGGCAATGAAAATCTAATGGGCCTTGCATAGGTCTGCTCTGGAGGTAAGTCATATAGTATAGGAATGACTAAATACTGTGTATTATTTGACTTACGTGATATGCATCATTTTATCAGTTACAACAGTGCATATATTTCTGGTTTTCAAATAGATTCAATCTCAAGTATATTGCAAGAAGCAGAAGTCCCTCTTATAACACATCAGAAATGCAAGGAGCTGATGCCAGAGTACAATATTACTGAAAACATGATATGTGCTGGATATGATAAAGGTGGAATTGATGCTTGTAAGGTAAATGGTAACAGTGTTTGCATTGTCATAGTGTAGTCAATAAATTATTCATTAGTTCTTGATTCTTTTTTATAATGTAAACTTTTTATATAGATACCAATGAGATAAAAAGTAAAGTTATGAGGAATGTTTTTTATAATTACATCACTGCTATTACATTCTGCTTTCATTTACCACTGTATGTTAGTTTGAATTAGTTTGAAGAAAGTATGTTGAACATTTAGAACTCCATCCATCAAATAAATAATTATTACAAGTGATGTACTGTTACCAAAGCATAGTGCACTATGTACTTTGCACTATGTTCAGCAAAAGGCTTTCCATATGGCAACTATGATTGTTTTTTCCTTTACTGAAACCAGCTGAAAATGAAGCTAGTTTAATACATTTCTGCCAGATTCAAATCCATTACTCAAGCTTGGAAATGATGGCTAGCTAGGTATTCTGTCTGGATAATGGTTACCAATTGATGGATTCCCCTGCTCATTCTGAATGTTTGCATGAGTCCTGTTACCTTGATTCCTTTCCCCTCACCTCCTTACGCTTAAGTATTTTCCATTTGGGATATCTCCAAGTATGGTAGCAGGAAAAAATAACTTTTTTCTAATCATTTTGGCTGAAAGGAAAATAATAGTACTATTGTCAACTTAACAAGGGAGATAGGTAGGGAAGGAATAAAGGTTCATTCAAAATTTCACTAGTCCATCAAAAAACTTCTTCAAAAAACCCTAGTTTAACTATTGAAATCCAATACATCACTAGTTCTTCTTGACCAGCTATAATTAGTGCTTCAGAAATTATCAGAAAAATAAATCATCCATATAATCCCTCGTATTAGCATTATAAAATATTAAAAAGCACCAGGGGATTAAGGCTTCTATGGATGTGTCCTTCTCCCCCCAAAAGCTACAAAGAGCAGTAACAGTGACTAAAGGGAATGGCCCATGCCATCCTTCCTGCAAGCAATTAATAAATAGCAATAGCTGTTAGACTTATATACCTCTTCACAGTGCTTTTCAGTCCTCTCTAATCAGTTTACAGAGTCAGCATATTTCCTCCAACAATCTGGGTCCCCCTTTTACTGACTTCAAAAGGATGGAAGGCTGAGTCAACCTTGAGCCGGTGATACTCAAACTGCCAAACTGCTGGCAGTCAGCAGAAGTAGCCTGCAGTACTGCATTCTACACCACCTTGGTTCTTACATAAAAATACATAAATTACATTGAGTTGACATAAGAGCAAAGAAACAGCATGGTCAGGTCCATATAGGCACAAGTAATAGACATCACTTAGACAGCAACAAAATATGGTTGAAGGTTGCCTCAATGTCAAGACAAGTAAGCTCAGGGTGATAGATAAATTCCTCTCAATGAATTTATCTCACTGAAGCATTTCCTGCCCATGATTAACAGATTGGGTAAAGGACGCTTATGAAAGGCATTTCTTTCCTCAATAAGGATAAGTATCATGACATAACTTTTACACAGGCCCAGTATGTTTCATTTAAACTTATGACTTACAGAGAAGCTTGCAGAAATATTATACAAAACTGACAAGTCATCTTATTAAACAGTTAAGTTCATAGTAATAGTGTTGTCAACAATAATATTATTTTAATTTTTCTTTGTCATTTCAGGGAGATTCTGGTGGGCCTCTGATGTGCCAAGAGAATAAAAAGTGGTTTCTAGTTGGTGTAACATCCTTTGGCTATAAGTGTGCACTTCCAAATCGCCCTGGAATTTATGTAAATGTTTTCAAATTTGTTGACTGGATAAAACGTACCATTAATTATTAGCATTTAAAAAAAATTAGAAAGAATATAGAATTGAAAGTGATTATAGTATTTATGCAATAAAGTTTGTAGAATCAGGCAAAAGTTAATAATTCAAATTCTGTCCAAGTTTGTGTTAGAAGTGATCTGAAGAAGTACCTGAAATTTTACTGACACTTACCCAGAAGATGCAATATTTTTCTTCTAGCTACTCTCTTAATGCTTGAATAAGAAAGAAGGGTAGCTCAGGTAACATACTGATTTGTTGAAAGTACAACCCTCAGTAAAACTGTGCCTTTAAACTTACTAAGAAGAGCAGTTGATCATCAATTAAACTCTTATACAATCTACTGTAAATAGGCTGTCAATACATTTTAATAATGAAAATATTTCTTGTGTAAGAGATTTTCAAATGACTGTTTTTTTCAAACAGTGATGATATTTCAGTATATATGTTTTCACTAAGGCTCCAATCAGAAAACCTCAGTCATGTACATCCCCAATCATTTCCTATTAACTCAGTTTATTAGTACAGGAGACAATGCAAAGTGTATGTATAGTTTATGAAAAAGATCAAGATACAGTTCTGATTAGCAGTACTCATGAAACTCTCATGCCTAGTCAAATGAACTAGAGAATACTATGGATCTACAAGTGAAACTCAAAAAATTAGAATATCGTGTAAAAGTTCATTTATTTCAGTAATGCAACTTAAAAGGTGAAACTAATATATGAGATAGACTCATTACACGCAAAGCAAGATAGTTCAAGCCGTGAAGTGTCATAATTGAGATGATTATGGCTTACAGCTCATAAAAACCCCAAATCCGCAATCTCAGAAAATTAGAATATTGTGAAAAGATTCAATATTCTAGGCTCATAGTGTCCCACTCTAATCAGCTAATTAAGCCATAACACCTGCAAAGGGTTCCTGACCCTTTAAATGGTCTCTCAGTCTGGTTCAGTAGGAATCACAATCATGGGAAAGACTGTTGACCTGACAGTTGTGCAGAAAACCATCATTGACACCCTCCATAAGGAGGGAAAGCCTCAAAAGGTAATTGCAAAAGAAGTTGGATGTTCCCAAAGTGCTGAATCAAAGCACATTAATAGAAAGTTATGCGGAAGGGAAAAATGTGGAAGAAAAAGGTGCACAAGCAGCAGGGATGACCACAGCCTGGAGAAGATTGTCAGGAAAAGGCCATTCAAAAGTGTTGGGGAATTTCACAAGGAGTGGACTGAGGCTGGAGTCAGTACATCAAGAGCCACCACACACAGACATGGGCACATCCTGGACATGGGCTTCAAATGTCGTATTCCTCTTGTCAAGCCGCTCCTGAACAACAAACAATGTCAGAAGCGTCTTACCTGGGTTAAAGAAAAACAGACCTGGTCTGTTGCTCAGTGGTCCAACGTCCTCTTTTCTGATGAGAACAACTTTTGCATCTCATTTGGAAACCAAGGACCCAGAGTCTGGAGGAAGAATGGAGAGGCACACAATGCAAGATGCTTGAAGTCCAGTATGAAGTTTTCACAATCTGTTGATTTGGGGAGCCATGTCATCTGCTGGTGTTGGTCCACTGTGCTTCTTAAGTCCAGGGTCAATGCAGCCATCTACCAGGAGATTTTGGAGCACTTCATGCTTCTTTCCGCAGATGAGCTTTATGGGGATGCTGACTTCATTTTCCAGCAGGACTTGGCACCTGCCCACACTGCCAAAAGCACCAAAACCTGGTTCAATGACCATGGGATTACTGTGCTTCATTGGCCAGCAAACTCTCCTGACCTAAACCCCATAGAGAATCTATGGGGCATTGCCAAGAGAAAGATGAGAGACATGAGACCGAACAATGCAGAACGGCTGAAGGCTGCTTTTGAAGCATCCTGGTCTTCCATAACACCTCAGCAGTGCTACAGGCTGATAGCCTCCATGCCACACCGCACCGAGGGAGTAATTGCTCCAAAAGGGGCCCAAACCAAGTACTGAGTATGCTTATACTTTTCAGAGGTCCAATATTGTTCTATGTACAATCCTTGTTTTATTGATTGCATGTAATATTCTAATTTTCTGAGATTGTAGATTTGGGGTTTTCATGAGCTGTAAGCTATAATCATCGCAATTATGACACATCACAGCTTGAACTATCTTGCTTTGCATGTAATGAGTCTATCTCATATATTAGTTTCACCTTTTAAGTTGCATTACTGAAATAAATGAATTTTTGCACAACATTCTAATTTTTCGAGTTTCACCTGTAATCATTCAAATCAGGTAGGTAACTTTATATTCTCAATTTAATTAATTTTGAATGATTTTCCTGCAACGCATGACAGACTAACCAAACAATTACTGCATTTACTATAAGATGGAAATCTTTGAAAAATAACTCATATCTATAAAGACCAGCTTTCTATTGAAACCAATGGAATATGCTTTTATACTTTCTGGGAAATCACATCTGCATATATTTGATTCATTTGAAATCATACTGTCGGAATGTATTCAAGACATTCCTGTATTTTAAATGAAATAACATTAATCTAAATTTAGATAAGAAATGTTACAAATTCAAAAAGAAGAGCTAAACTTCTCACTGTAATGAGAAAAAAATCAGCTTGTAAATAAAACACTATCAAAATCATAGTCACTAATACAATAGTAATGAAATTATTATTTGATTTGGCCAAAACCATTCTGCATGTAGCTTAGGATTTAGGATTTCAACAGAAGAATTTATATGTGTGTGTGTGTGTGTGTGTGTGTGTGTGTGTGCGTGCGCGTGCACGCACACACACAAATCAAAATTTTGTAACAGAGGTTTGAAAATGGATCCAATATAT